GGTGCAACAATGAATGAATGGAATCCCAAAATCTCTGTAGATGTTCATTGAAATGAAAAAATAAACAACCTAAATTAAAAAAATATATATAGAAAAACTGATGGGGGACTGTGCAGAGTCTTGTTCTGTTATACATGGAGTCACTTAGTGGGAGGCAGCTTAACAACCTTAACCAACTGTTGTTGTTGTTAAGTGCCATCTAGTCGCAGGCAACTCATAGCGACCCTATGAAGGAGAGTCCTCGACACTTGGGTGTCTCTCATCCTCTCTCCAGGCTCATAGGGTTTCCGGAGGCAAGCTGTTACGGAAGTGGATGCCACTCCTCATTCCAAGCTTACCTAACCAACTAGACAAGGAAATACTGCCTGGCTCAATTAGGAAAGCACTGCGTCAGGGTGATGCTTTCATCACACTTATTCAATCTAGACATTGAACAAGTGATCAGGAAGCTGGACTATACTAAAAAGAACAAGGCATCAGGATTGAGGAGAGACTCATTAACAACCTAAATATGCAGTTGCTTTCAATCTATATGCAGAGCAGATCATTCAGGAGACTGGACTTTATGAGGAGGAAGATGGCATCAGGATTGAAGGAAAACTCATCTACAATCTACGTTATGCAGATGACACAACCTTGCTTGCAGAAACTGAGGGGGTCCTGAAGCGCTTGCTGCAGAAGGTCAGGGACTGTAGTCTTTAATATGGACTGAATCTCAACATCAAGAAGACAAACAATCTCACCATTGGGCCAATTGGCAGCACCATGATAGATGGAGAGGAGATTGAGGTTGTTAACAATTACAGCTTGCTCAGCTCCACAATCTTGGCACTCTTGCCACCAGCAGTTAGGAAATCAAAAGATGAACTGCACTGGGAAAATCTGCAGTCAGGGACCTCTCCAGAGTACTGGATAGCAATGATGTCAGTCTAGAAACTAAGGTGCTCCTGATCCAGGCCATGTTCTTCACAATTACTTGGTATGCATCAGAGAGCTGGCCATTGACTCAGAATGGCAGAAGAAGAATCAAGACCTTTGAGTCGCAATATTGGAGAAGAGTCTTAAACATATCATGGACTGCCAAGAAAACAAATAGTTTTGTCTTGGACAACGTGAAACCAAGTTTCTCTGTGGAGGCTAGGATTTTGAAGCTCCATCTCACAAATATTGGGCACATGGCCAGGAGGCACTCACTGGTCCTTGAAGAAGGACATCATGCTCAGAAGGATGGAGGGACAGTGCAGGAGAGGAAGACCCCAGACGAAATGGATTGACACAGTAACTGGAGCAATAGGACTAGGTGTGTTGGAGTCAGTGAGACTGGCTCAAGACAGGGCTGGCTTCAGAACTGTGTACACAGTGTCGCTGTGAGTTGCAGGCTACTCGTCAGTATATACAACATTTCTTGCTGAAAAGAAAGAAGATTTAAAGCATTTACTAATCAAGATCAAAGGCTACAGGCTTCAGTGTGGATTATACCTCAACATCAAGAAAACAAAAATCACAACTTAACCAATAAGCAACATCGTGAGGCATGAGGAAAAAACTGAAGTTGTCAATGAGTCTATTTTATGAGGATCTGCAAGCAATGCTCGTGGAAGCAAGAGCCAAGAAGTCAAAAGGCAAATTGCATGGAGAAAATCTGCTGCAAAGAACCTCTTTAAAGGGTTAAAGAGGGAGGGAAGAGAATGTGCAACAATGAATTTAAAAAGGTTTTTTAAAAGTATTAAAGAGCAGGGGAGCTCTGGTGGCCTAGTGGCAAGAAGCTGCACTGCAATCCCAGAGGCACACCGTTCAAATCCACCAGATGCTTTGCTGGAGAAGGAGGGACAATCTGCTCCTATACGAGTCAAATCTGATTTGATGGTACATGCACACACACACACACACACACACACACAAAATAATAGTAAAATAACTTTTTAAAAAAGTATTAAAGAGCAAAGATGTTCCTTTGAGGACTGGGGTGCATATTTAGTTAGTGCTGCTGCAACAGAAATAGTGCTAGCGGATGGCTTTAAGAAACAGACATTTGTCCTCTGACAAGCTGTAGTTGCTATTGTTGTTAGGTGCTGTCAAGTTGAGGATGAGTCCTGTCCTGTGCCATTCTCACCATCTCTGACACACTTGAGCTCATTACTGAAGTCAACTGTGCCCCATAAGCTAGCGATGCAACTTTAGAGTGCCTGCTTTTGTGTAGTACTTTCTCTCTATTGGTTCCAGAGGAAGGACCTTGCGTCTTTTCAGCATCTGAGGACCTGACATTTTTTTTGAGATCTTCTTGGGTCCTGGCATCTGCTTTTGTTCTAGATCTAGTTGTTCGCACCACACAAGGACCCTGAGTTGAAAGGATGCACTCTGGTTTCAACTCTTCTTCTTGTTTGTTGGGTTGTGTTTTTTTTTTCAAATCTCCTCATTTGCTTTTTTCTTTTAATGAAAATTTACAGAGACTTTGGATTTCCATTCATTCACTGTTGCACCCTTTCCTCCCTGCCCAACTTTCACCCTCAGTTCGCTTTTCTCTTTAAAAAGTTTAAAAAAAAACAAAACCAACTTTCATTGTTATACAATCCCCCCAGTCCACTCCACTATGCACCTTTTGTTCTGGACTCTTCTCATGATAATAATACCTAATTATATATTCCTCCTAACAGTTCTCTCCCTCATCTATTTCAATGCAGTTGTTGATAAGTGCCATCGAGTTGTAGGCAACTCATAGTGACCCTGTGAAAGAAAGTCCTCAACACTTGTGTGACTTTCATCCTTTCTCCAGGTTAATAGGGTTTCCAGAGGCAAGCTATTATGGAAGTGGATGCCTCTCCTGCTTCCAAGCTTGTTTTAATCGGGGATTGCCACCAAACACTGTCCACCATGGGCAACCATTAAGGAATGTGACACATCAGTGTCACAGTGTTCAGCTTCACAGCAAGCACAAGTTACTGCTGTATGGCAAGTGGACACACCAGGGCTATACCAACTAGAAGAATGTTTAAACAAAAACAATGAAAAACAGGCCTGAGGGCTGCAGGTTAGAAGTCACCCACCTTTAGCTCGGTAGCATCACTTTCTCTCCACTAGGCCAGCTGATCTCTCTCTATGTTGGTGTTATTGTTGTTAAGTGCCATAGCGTCACATGCAGTATACATTATTAATCCCCTCTTAGTTTCCCCCCAACCCCAATGTCAGTCTCGCTTTACAACAGTGGCACTATTCAGTCTTTGTCCTTTTGTGACTGAGATATTTCACTCAGCATAACGTCCTCCAGCATCACCTATTTTGTATATTTTTGTATAATATTTCATGAATTCCTTGTTTCTCAATGCAGCATAGTATTCTACTGAGCTTCTACCAGAGCTTCTCTATCCATTCGTTTGCTGATGGGCACTTGGGTTGTTTCCAACTCTTTGCTATTGTGAACAAAGCCATGATAAACATATATAACGGCTTAGGTGATGGTTATGGTTTCTTTGGGGTATATTTATATTATTTGGGGTATATTCAGTAGTGGAATTGCTGGGTCAAATGGTATTTCTATTTGTAACTTTTTGAAAAAGGGCCATACTGCTTTCCATAGTGGTTGCACCATTTTACACTCCCACCAACAGTGAATAAGGGTTTCCGTTTCTCTGCAACCTCGCCAGCATTTGCTGTTTGTCAGCTCTTCTTTCATAGTGATACCGAGGTTTCCCCCAATTCCTGCTTGCTTGTTTAATCTCTTGAGTACTTCAAAGGAAGGATTAGCACTTTGAATTGAGGTGTTAGAGAAGAGTACTGAATATCCCATGGACTGTCAAAAGAACAAACAAGCTTGTCTTGGAGGAAGGGCAATTAAGTTGTTCCTTTGAGGCAAGGATGGTGAAACTTCATCTCTCATACTTTGGGTATGTTGTCAGGAGGGATCAGTCCTTAGAAAAAGACATCCTCCTGAGAAAGAGGGTTAGCGAGAGAGAGGAAGATCCTGTACAAGATGGATTGACCCAGTGGCTGTAACAATGGGCTCCATATCAGAGATGGTGAGGGTGGGCAGGAGAGAGCAAGGCCAGATCTGTTGTTCACAGGGTCACTAAGAGTTGTAGTAGACTCTAGAATGGGGCTGACATCAGGGTTGGGGTAAGAGTGAGAGAAACTAGATAAATTATGCATACTGCATTGAAACGGATGAGGGAGAGAACAGTTCAAAAGCAATATATTATAGAGTATTATAATTATCATAAGAGTCTGGAATGAAGGTTGCAGAGTGGAGTATACTTAGGGTGGTGCGGGCGGGTATGTGTGTGTAGGTAGGGATTGTATACCAATGAAGGAATTTTACTTTTCAAAGAGAAGAGCGAACTGGGGGTGGAGGGGTGGGTGGGGAGAAAAATGCAACAATGAATGAATGGAAACCCAAAAATCTCTGTAAATGTTCATTAAAATTAATTTAAAAAAGTAAAAAAAGACAAGAAAAAAAAGAGTTGTATTCAACTCAACATCACCTAACAGCAACATAGCTCCAAAGAGATTCATTCAAGATACAAGTTAATCTTGAAGATTACATCCTGACTCATTAACATCAATCCATAACATTGATCCTGCCTCCTAAACATCAATCCCCTCATATGCATGCGGAAGCTGGACAAAGAATAAGGAAGGCTGAAGAACAGATGCCTTTGAGTTACGGTATTGGTGGACTGCCAGGAGAATAAACAAAGAGATCCTGGAAGAAGTGGAACGAGGATGCTTAGAAATAAGGATGGCAAGACTCTATCACAAGTTATCAGGAGAGACTAGTCCCTGGAGAAGGACATCAAGCTTGGTAAAACAGAGGGTCAGTGAGCAGTGAGAAGCCCATCGATGAGATGGATTGACACCATGTCTGCAACAGCGGCTGAAACGTAGCAAAACTGGTGGAGGACCAGGCAAGAGTTTATTCTGCTGTACATAGAGTCATTGGATTGGAGGCAGCTCAACAGCGTCTAACAACAATTCTCCCTCCTCGTACAGGTGAGGGAAACTGAGGTCCAGGAAGGTTAGATGAATGGTCCACGACCACTCAGGTAACAAGTGGTTAGGATGTGGACTCCATTTGCTCTGATTCCAAAGCCTCGTCGTGCTTTCCCCCCCCCCCTTTCCCTTTGCCATCCCATTGACCTCTTTTGGGGTGACCCCCTTCTGCCTCCTAAACCAGTCCAGTTGTTTTTGGTGTCAGGATGCAATGCCCAGCCCCCCAGACAAGGGTGGGGGTGGTGGAGGTGAAGGGCCGGAGCTACTCTTCCACCGGGCCCCTGCTGAGCCTGAGGTAAACCTGCATTAGCTCCTCCCTGAGCAAACAGGGGCGAGGCCGAGCGCGCCCGGCAGGAACGCCAGCATCCGGGTGGCCGTCACACCCTGCAAAGGCCACATCCTGCTCCAGGACCCTCAGTTTTGGGACTGAGCCAGGGAGAGGCATTTGGCACTGAGCCTGGAAACCGCCTTCTAGTCCCTCTTGTTCCTAGACCTCAGATTTTTCATTTGTAATATAACAGGGGGGAGAATGATCAAGAGAAATTATTTTATTTGATCATCTTGTTATTTAAAAGACTAGTTTTAATTAACTGACTCCTCTCTTCCCCACCACCAAATAATGTGTTTTCACTTTACAAAATTCCAAGTTCCAAGATTTCTCTATTTTTTTTTCTGAAAATATCCAGTGAGCTCAGTCTGGTCCCATTGTTCCACGTTCCTACTTGGCGCTCACAGATGGACCCAGACTTGAAGGGGGGCGTGGTTGTCTGCCCTTCCCACGGCCCCTTTGGCTCTCCTGGGGGCTTCAAACTGACATCATTGCTCCTCAATAATTCGGAGAGAACCCTGACTGCAGGCTTTCCCAGTGCAATACTTCTGATCTCCTGACTGCTGGAACCAAGGGCGTTGATTGGGAATCCAAGTCTTTGACAGTTCCAATCATTTCCCCATCTGTTATGATGTTGTCTGTCCAGTGGTGAGAATTTTTGTTTTCTTGACGTTGAGATACAACCCTTATTTACAGCGTGGGGTTAAGGCGAATCCGCTCCTCCAGCTGCAGAAGAGGAGACGTTGTCCCTGCGCCTTTCCACGCTCCTATGGCTCTTAAATCTAGGTGTTTGTGGATGTAGCTGGCAACTCCCCAGATCTAGAGGTCTGCATTAGCAGGAGCTGGTTTGGGGGCATCTCGACTGGAAGGAGAGCTAGGCGCCCGGGTCCCACCCGCAGCCCTGTGCGCACCTGCGCTCGCGCCCCGCGCGCCCAACCTTCAGAATCAGGCGGCTCGGCTTTGACCGCGCACCATCCACCCACACGTCTCACCTGCGGCCCCAGCGGCCCGAGCAGCGCCGAGAACTGGAGCAGGAGCCGGAGCGGGAGCCACAGCCCAGACCCTGGGGCCGCTCTTGTCATGGCTGTGTGGACGACCGCACGCCGGCCGGTCCCCTTGCCACTGGTCCACCTGGCCCCTGGTCCACCTGGCCCCTGGAGACTCCGCCCTGGGCGGAATCTTGGCGCAACCTCCGTGTATATTCCTTTCTGTCTCCCTGTTCCTCTTCTTTCCCAACACTCGTCTACAGCCTTTTACCCTATCTGACCCCACAAAGGGTAGCTCTGAGCTTTCCTAGGAAAGAGATTTTACCAACAGCCGCGTGGCAAGTACTGTAGCAAGTGCTTTACTTTCAGTAGTAGCTCGTTGAATCTGTCCATGGGAGTTTTGTGGTGTAGTTTCAGCTTGTTCAGCTCCACATCAACACTCTTTTAACACCAGCAGTCAGGAACCTGTGCTATGCATATGGAAGAACCCTTCAAGAACTTGAAATGCTTGCTACAGGAAGTCAAAGAATACAGCCTTGAATATGGATTACATCTCAACAAGAAGGGAAAAAAAAATCAAAACAACTATGAGATATCATCTCACCCCAGTAAGAATAGCAAAATTCAACAAAACAGCAAACAACAAATGCTGGCAAGGTTGTGGAGAAACTGGAACCCTTATTCATTGTTGGCGGGAGTGTAAGATGGTGCAACCACTATGGAAGGCTGAATGGCACTTTCTCAAAAAGTTGGAAATAGAAATAACATTTGACCAGCAATTCCACTACTGGGAATATACCCTAAAGAAATCAGAACTGCCTTTCAAACAAATATATGCATGCCTATGTTAATTGCTGCATTATTCACAATAGCAAAGAGATGCAAACAACTCAAGTGCCCATCAACAAATGAATGGGTAGAGAAGGTCTGGTATATTTACACAATGGAATACTACGAAGCACTGAAAAACAAGGAACTAATAAAATACTATACAAAATAGGTGACCCTGGAGGACACTATGCTGAGTGAAATATCTCAATCACAAAAGGACAAATACTGCATAATGCCACTGTTATAAAACAGGACTGACTTGAGGGTGTGGGGAAAACTAAGAAAAGGGGATACATAATGTACACTGCATTGAAACAGATGAGGAAAAGAACTGTTATTTGTATGATAACAGTCCAGAAAAAGAGCTGCAAGGGAGCAGGGGGGAGATGGGAGAGGAGATAGAGGTAATTGTGTAACAATGGAAGAATTTTTTTTTAAAAAGAAAAACAAACTGAGAGGGTGGGTAGGGAGGAAAATGTGCAACAATGAATGAATGGAAATCCAAGTTCTCTATAAACTTTCTTTAAAATCTCAATTAAAAAAAAAGAAGACAAAAATCTTACCACTAGGCAGATAGACAACATAGTGATAGAGGAATAAAAAATTGAAATTGTCAATAATTACGTATCCTGATCAACACCCTTGTTACTAGCAGGCAGGAGATCAGGAGATCAGGAGATGTACTACATTGGGAAAGTCTACTGTTAGAGACCTCTCCAAATTACTGAGGGGCAGTGATAATAGTCTCATATACTTTGGGCGTGTTGTCAGGAGAGGCTGTTTCATGAAAATGGACATCATACTTGGACAGGTGTCAGGTCAGTGAAAGAAAGAGCAGAAGACCCTCGGTGAATTAGATTGATACAGTGACTGTGGCAATGGGCTCACGTGTGTCAAGGATGGTAAGGATGGCACAGGATAAGACTTGTCTGGATCTGTTGTTTACAGGTCACTACAATCTGTGTGAATATGACACGGTCTTACTTGCCAAAACTGAGGAGAACTTGAAGCATTTGCTGCAGGAAGGCAAAGACTATATAGTCTTCAATATGAATTGCATCTCAACATCACAAAACCAGATTCTTATCCCAGGGCCAATTGGCAGCATCATGATAGAGAAAAGATTGATGTAGTTAACAGTTTCATTTTACTTGGATCCATAATCAGTCCTCTTGGCACCAGCAGTTAGGAAATCAAAAGATAAGTTGCTTTAGAAAAATCTGCTGCCATAATGCTAAAAAATCAATGATGTCAGTCTAGAGACTAAGGTGTGCCTAATCCAAGCATGGTCTTCTCAATTGCTTGTTATGCAGCTGAGAGCTAGACAGTAACTAAGGACGACAGGAAAAAAAAATCAATGCCTTTGAGTTGTGATGCTGGAAAGGAGTAACTGAACATACCATGGACTGCCAAGAGAACAAACAGGACTGTTCTGGAGAGGGTAAAGCCAGGTTGCTCCTTGGAGGTAAAGATTTTGAAGCTTCTTTTCACGTAATTTGGACATGTTGCCAGGAGGGTGACATCGAGAAGGACATCCTGCTTGGAAGAGTGGAAGGTCAGCGCAGTAGAGGAAGATCCTGGATGAGATGGATTGGCACAGTGACTATGGCAATGGGGTCAGGTGTGTCAGTGATGGTGAGGTTGGCTCAGGATAGGGCAAAGTTCAGAACCATTGTTCATAGGGTCACCATGAGTCATGGTTGACTTGATGGCACATAACAACAGCAACAACAATGCCAATTTCAATACTAAGATGTATTTGATTTAGGTCATGGTCTTTTCAATCCCTTGCTTTGATCTGAGAGTTGGACAATGAATAAAGACGACAGAAGTAGAATTGATGCCTTCGAGTTGTGGAACTGGAGAAGAGAAATGAAGATCCCACAGATGGTCCAAAAGACAAACAGATACATTTGGAGAAAATGCAGCCAGAGTGCTCTTCAGAGGCAAGGATTGCAAAGTTTCATCTTACATACTTTGGGCATGTTGTTACGAGAGGTTATTCCTTGGAAAGGGACATCATGTTTGGAAAGGTGGAGGGTCAGAGAAAGAGAAAATGACCCTTAATTAGATGGGTTGACAAAGTGACTGCAACAATGGCCTCAAGTACATCACAGATGATGAGGATGTCACAGGATAGGATTTAGATCTATGTTGATAGGGTTGCTATGAGTAGGACGCGACTCGATGGCACCTAACGACAATATATAGGGATGTACGTTCTCATTTATTTGCACTTTGGTTTGTATTCTTCAGAAGATTTTATAGTTTATTTCCCCCCATCTAGATTCTGTGGCATGCTGCTTAAATTTAGTCTTAAATATTTTCTTTTTGTTGTTATCATGATTGGAGTACTTTTCCAGTTTATATTTCCATTTTCTCTATTCTATTTCAAGGTGGATAGTGAACGCCTTTGGGCATTCATGGGAGACTAGATTGGCTGATTCTTGGAACTAGAGCTGAGCACTATTGAAGCCTACTTTTCTTGACAGAGTCGGGGGGCAGGGGAGAGCGTATCCTGGCACATATTTGATAGGCCTAAAAGACCTTTGTAACACTTGCCTAAGCTGGGTAGAGGCCAGGTAGTGAGGCTGAGTCAAAGAGAGGTTTTCCTGTCATGACTAAAGAACGATGTCTTCTATATTCTCAAACCCCAATTGTAACCTGATACCTTTCTGTTCATTAACTTGGAATTGCTGTGATGCTGAACACTGTGTCAAACACCATAATGGTTACCCATTGTGGGCAGTGTTTGGTGAAACTCCCAGATTTATTCAGATGTGGAAGCAGGAGTGCCGTCTACTTCCTAAACCACATGCCTCTGGAAACTCTATGAACATAGAGAAATAATGATAGTTATAGAACAGCATTCAGATCTTTTGTTCATAAGGTCGCTATGAGTTGTATTTGACTCAATGGCACTTAACAACAACAGCAACAAATGAAGAGACTGGGGAAGCAGTTCTTCTTTGAAAGGTGGGCTCTCTTGTTTTAGTTGAGGGTCTTGTGGAATGTTTGTTTTTGATTCAAGCCTCTTGTTTAAAGTCAACACCACCTCCTCGAGGGCTTTTCTATCTAAAAGTTTGTTGGGCTCTTGGACCTGGGGCCCTCAGGCCTAGTATAATTATAATTTAGAGGAACCATTTTTCTCAGTGATGCAGCACTGGTCTGTCAATTTGCTGAAGTAACCTGGAGTGGCTCTGATGCTAAATTTTGTGCCATTGGTATGACGAATGGTATCATGGTTACCCATGGTGGACAGTGTTTGGTGGAGCTCCCAGATTAAGACATGTTTGGAAGCAGGAGTGACGTCCACTTCCTAAACAACATGCCTCTGGAAACTCTGTGAATGTAGAGAAATGATGGTAGTTATGGAAAGGCTTCAGGTCTTTTGTTCATAGGGTTGCTATGAATTGTGCTCGACTAGATGACAATCAACAATAACAACAACACTACTTTTCTGTTGTTGTTAGGTGCTGTTAAAAACAACTCATAGAAACTCTATGAATAACAGATCTGAACCCTGTCCTATCGTGTGCCATTCTCACAATCTTTGACATACTTCAGCCCATTATTGCTGTCACTTTGTAAATCCAAAAGGATGAGGGTCTTCCTCTCCTTCACTACCCCTCCACCTTTCCAAGCATGATGTCCCTCTTCAAAGAGCAACCTCTCATAGTAATATGCCCAAAGCATGTGATGCTAAGCTTTATCACCTTTCCCTCCAAGGAGTTCTCTGGCTGTATCTTGTCCAAGACATATCTGTTTGTTTTTTTGACAGTCCATAGGAAATTTAGTACTCTTCTTCAACTTCAAATCCCATAATCTTGAGTATTGTCTGTGAGTTCTGTGTGGCCATTACAATGAATTCTTGAACCTGGAAGAGAAGTAATGAATGGTGGGAGGGACAGTTGGTGTTTATTGGAAAAAGAAAGTTTAGAGTGTGTAGCATAGGAGTACGTCTGACTTCATAGGAAATGGCTTCAAGCTGCTGATCAATTGTTAATAGGACTCTGTCCCCCTGTTGATGGTCATGGAGATCAGATGCAGCTGTTCCTATCTAACACTGGTTTTTATAGGATAACTCATGAGATTGAATGGCAATCTAAAAGAAAAAAATATCTCCAACTAAAATTGATGAGTGGCTTTTCTTTCTTTCCAGATTGTGAATCCTTTCTTTCTTGTGAAAAATAAAAAAAAAATCAGGCTTACCAAATTTGAATTTTTTGAAGACATGGTTTTAAAAAGTACTCTCATTATGTTTC